CCATGTGAAAATTGTGCATGTGAATTCAACAAAAGACTTGCATTCAACCTAAAACCAATTGACAATAAATTGAGACTCTTTCTTATATTTAACGCACAAGTTTGTTCGTTATATGGGATTTTCCCACTCAACATTCTCTTCGAAGAGGAAAAACAATGGCCAAATGTGATTCTCACCCTCCATAAATAAAAGGAATCTCTCTATAATGTTCTCTCCATTTTGTAGAGGAATTTCCTTAGACTCAAGAGTTTTGTTATTGTGGAGGTTGATAACAATTGGATTGTTGGGAGATGAAAACACCAAGGAGAGGATGCGATCTCGAAACTCGAAGAAATCAACCCTGGAGAAACTCTGGGCAGCCATAGCTTTCAATGTGAAGCGGTCCGTAGAGGGAGGCCCAAGAACAAGAATAGTTTTCAGAGCATAAAGAAGTTTGATGATGATGGGACGATCTTGGTGGAGAATATGAACAGAGGAAGCCATTGCTGTTGTAAAGACTCTAAAAGTGAAGCATTTTTCCTAGTAGAATCTGAGTTGTGAAAATGGTAGAAGAAATTATTTGTGAAATCAAGCTGAGAGAGCGAAAGGAAAGTTGAAGAAGAATTTGTGAGGGAGAAGAGAGCCTAGACTGGCTCTATTTAACTGATTCTTGGTCAATGGCCCAAAAAAAAAAAAGAACTCTGACGTGGAAGTACGTCAAGTTGAAAGTGTTATTACATTTATTCTTTTTGATGGATTTATTTTTTTTCAAGGATTTACTACATTGCCACCCACCGATCTCGTAAATAATTAAGAGAAAAATTATTTTAAAATTATATAATTTAAATAAATTATTATTAATAAGATTAAAATATTTTATTTTTAAAATAAGAATTATATTATTTTTAATTTTTTATAATATTTTTAAAAATCTATAATTTAAATTAATTTTTTAAAATTTTTAATAATTAAAATAAAAAAACACTAACCCCTTCCTATATTTTAACAAAAGAGAGAGGGGCTGTTTTATTACATTTATTAAAATAAAAAAAAGAGGGGTTATTTAGTATAATAATTCATAGTTACATTTAATTTAATGATTAATAATAATTATTATTCTTAATTTAAACTATTTTATTCATCAAATTAAATAAAATGTTAATCGATAATTCCAAATTGTTATATCAAACACCCATAAAATGTAAAAATTAAAAAACCCTATCCTTGCTAGTAAAATTAATTAAATATCTTAATAGCTTTTGTTTGAATATTAATCATTAAGAGAATTTGAATTTTTTCATCATCAAAACTAATATTTTAATTACCAACACATATTAATTTTCACAATCTCATAAAAATAATACATTGTGATGGTAGGTTTACGATACCTAATAAAATTATAATTATATTATTTTTACATAGAGAATAATAGATGATACAAAGTATAAAAATTTAGAATTAAAATTTAAAATTAATGATATAACATAAATTATATCATTAAAAAAGTTAATATATAATATTATAATTTTTTTTAAAAATTAATTATTAAATAATATAAATTTTATTTTTTAATATTTTAAATAATATAACTTAAACCCAAATTATTTATCTAAATTTCCTTCCCAAAATTTTTGTTCGGATTATTTGTCCAAATCTCCTTCCCAAAATTTTACTTCGCATTATTTGCCCAAGTTTCCTTCCCAAAATTTTTGTTTGCATTATTTGTCTAAATTTTCTTCCCAAAATTTTGGTTCGGTTTACCATTCTCCAGAACAATATCGAAGTACAAAATCAGGAGAATCTAATGAGAGAAGGCCCACATGGAGTGCATAAAACATTTCTGAAAACACCGATGGAGGAAAAAAAAAAAACATTTTAAGTCTCTGACCATAACCAGAAACCTACTTCCCATCCAGCGGTTTGGACAATGCAAGAGAGTCGAATCCGGGGACGAAGGTTCTCTCGTCTTCGATGAAACCGGCGAAATCGACTGCGATTGAGACTGAAATAGAGCCATGTATTCGAATCCGAGAGCGAAGTTTCCTCTCGTCTTCAATTTCCTGAAATCAAACTCAGGCAGTGAATTTCCTGCCAAAAAAAAAAAAAAAGACTTAGGCGGTGAATCAATCGGATCGCAAAACCTATACGCCGATTGCGGTTGAATTAACTCTAACCACGGCTGCTGGTTTTCTCCCTCATTCTTGACCGATCGCCGCCGCTGATTCCGCCGATTATAATGAGAAAAACTTTGGCAGGAGAGAGACGAAGGATGAGGTCTGGATGCGGCATTTGGTGATACTGTGATAGAGATATGGTTGGCTGTGCGTGTGTAGGACAGAGGAGGAGTTGAGGAAACAATTTTAATGTTAATTGGTGTTTGGCTGCAATGCAGGTATCCTTTGGTGAAATGTTTCACTGGAATTGCACAATTTGGTGAGACAAAAAAATGCAAAACCTATATGGTAATCGGAGTTTTTCTTAGTCCTTTATTTTTTAAGCATCTTTAATTTTTCGTGTGTGGGAAAGAAAAAATAATAATGAAATAGAGTTATCTCCAACGATTTAGTGATTCCATGCTTGAGAGTTTAGGGTTTTGGTTTCCCTAATAAGTCCTTCTAGAACCAAACCAACAACGATCTGTACATTGAGAATGAATACGAGTTCATGGAACATCGGTCGAAATGACATACAGTGCAGGTTTGATGTTGGAATGCATGAAATGGGGAATACTGTTAATGGTTGCTAACAGTGTACATATTAATGTTGTATGTGAGGGTAGTTTAGTCTTTACATAAATGCATATGTGAATATGTATATATTGTAACCCTATTTTAGAATGGTTGAGAACGACTATTATCTTCATGGTATCAAAGCTATGGTTCGACATCAAACTGTGTTTCTAGATTTTCTTCCTCCAGTGTCATGGATATAGATCCTGTTTTTTCTAGTACTCCTCCTACTCCTATTTCTTTGAGTCCTTCTATTTTTATCTTTGCTAGTACTCCTACTTTCCCACTTATATCTCTTCCTTCTGTTACCAATGCTGTCATCTCCACTATACCGTCATTTATCAATTCTCATCTGGTTTTTACTATTTCAAATATTAAAAATTTTGTTCCGAAAACCTTGAACCATGACGATTTTGTTATTTGGTGTGACTTAATGATTCTTGTTTTCAAAAGTAAGGGTGTCTATGGGCATATTGATGGCATCGATCCTTGTCTTATGCCTGGGAATCTGAGTTTGCGGACTGAACCCAGATTGATTATCAAATCCTATCATGGATTCAAGCAACTATATCTTCAGAGGTATTGCAAATGATTATACAGCCAGGAAGATCTTTGAATGCTAAACAAGCCTGGGATGCGATCCATCTTGCCTATCAAAATCAATTGGAAGCACAAAATCTCTTTCTCCAATAAGAATTCTCCTCCATTCAGAAGCAGCCAGGTCAAACAATGATGGCTTATCTCCAGTACGTGAAAGGCATAGCAAATAAATTACACGGAATTGGGTCTCCCAAAATAGATCGAGATTTGGTCTTTCAAACTCTTGTCGGCCTTGACTCCACCTATAGTGTTGCTAAGCGGACAATACCTCAACGGGTTCCTTTTCCATCATTCTTGGAGATGCGAGCTTTGTTGTTAATTGAAGAGGCTAGTGTTCAATGCGAACAAGCTGCTGCTGCTTCTTTGCCATTGGTAGTCACCAATTCTCATCATGTGCTACACACTACTATTCCAAACACTAATCAAGCACCACCGTCAGGCTATTCTCCTTCCCAAGTTCATGTTGCTAATATTCAAAACAATTATAATTTTGTTGGCTCTTCACGAAGGTATGGCAAAACCATTCCACGAGGAGGATGACGTGGTTCTCATGGTGATCGTGCTGGACGTGGATTCTATAATTCAGGAGGAAATTTTCAGCATTTCAATACTGGTTATGGTCATGAACCACTTAATAATCATGGTGGTTATACTAGTTCTCATATGGCTTAACCGAATTTGAGTTTGCCTTCACTACTGCCCACACAACCGATTGGTTCACTTATTGTCTCCTGTCAATGGTGTGGCCAACCCAGTCATCAAGCCAGAGAATGCCCACTGGTCTCTTGGACACTTCCTAATTTCCATTCAACTTTCTTTGCTGCACCATCCTATCCACCAT